GTAAGGGAGTCATGTAGTCCATGTATAGGGTGGTGAGACACACTTCTTGAGTAGTTGAAACTCTCATAGTAGGAACCTCAACATGAGCCTCCTTGCCCGCCTCCTCCGCAGTCACAAGCTTGCTCTCCAGTGGAGGAGAGCTTGTCGCACCCGTGGAGGAGAGCTTGGTCACACCTGGTGGAGGAGAGCTTGGTCGCACCCTGCAGCTTCTTGGCTTGCCAGGAGATGGCAGCTCCGTCAAGTGTGAAGAGGTAGCCTCCCGTGGACACATCATCGGCATCAGCGTACCCCATGAGGTTTAAGCTCTTCGATTCCCCCTTGAATAGCAACCCCGTGCCCTATGAGGCATTACAATAGGAGAGGGTGCAACGGAGCTCATGGTCAATGGTGCCGCAAAGAAATCCCTTCTTCACATGAAGCTGTTCAAAATCTAGGTCCATTTCTAAAACAGTTGACAAGAGCACTCGGATGTTGGTGTAGTTGCCACCGGTCAAAGGCATCGTCATAGCCAATGCCGAAGCGTTGGCTGAGATATTTTTTTATGAGCCGGGCCTGTAATCTCCACAGTACCATCAGGTTGCATTTTTTTTTTCAACAACCACTTGACGATGACTACCTTGCAACCTTTGGGAAGTACAACCAACTTCCCCATGTCTTGCTCATGAGGATCTCCATCTCGTCCCCCATAGCTTCCCACCACTCCTTGCCTTCAGGTCTGGTGAGTGCTGCTGCCAGGTCAATGATGACACCTCCCCGCCCCTTCCTCCACTGCATCCTTGTCTGTGTACTCTAATTCGTGTCGTCGCTGTCTGTGTCGGAGTCATCCCCAACAAGGAACGCCATATCATCCGCATCCGGGGACGTCATGGCTGATGCAGGAAAGTGCAAGTAGCAACCCCTTGTTGGACCTAATAGAATAACATGAAAGTAGAGTAGGGGGCTGGAGGGGCGGAACTGTGGGTATGGGGTTATTTTCATGGGCTGCCACCGATTGCAGGTCGCTGTCTCCCCTTCCTTGTCTTCATCAGCTGCACTTTGTTCATCGTAGAGGGACCAAACTCTGGTCCCACTGGGTGGGAAACCATCACCTAAGGAATGGACAGGGAAAAGGTGGAGGCCATGGTTGCCTGCTGCCACAAGGCTCAACAGAACGAGTCGAAGCAGATTGCTCGCCCCTTGGCACGACGACACCGGGAGCATGATGATGGTACGTGGCGGCGGTCTGATTCTTCTCAGAGCCATGGATCTCCAAGAGAACCTCCTCCTCCTCACTCGTCATGTAGCGGAAGAGTTAAATGAGTGAGTTTGGCTTCTTGAGAGGAGGCGCTCGTCGTATCCTCACCTCCTTTCTCCACGTCGATGCCTAGCACGCCACCACATGTGGCTGTTCACTTTACCACACCACGAACATGTTCATTTGGAAGGTGAGCGTGCCACAGGTTGAGCGTCGCCTTGGTCTCCCACAACATATGTTGTGAGGGTGGCCGCTTTTTCATTCGCTTTCGGCTCGCTTAATGCCACCTCAGCAACCACGTTAGTCATGCCATTGCATGCCACGGTAGCCGCCATGCCGTTGCACCCCGTTGGCAGCCACCGTGCCATTACATGCTGTTGCAGCCGCCCAATGCCGTTACATGCCAATGCAAACCGACGTACCATTGTGTGCTGGTGCAGGCCACCGTACCGTTGCATGCCGCAACAGCCCTTGTACGGTTGCATGCTGCTGCAGCCCCCGTGCCATTGCATTGCCATTGCAGCTGCCGTGCCATAGCTTCCCATGGGCTGTGTTGTCGCCACCATGTCATTCCTCGCCATTGCTGCCGCAGTGCCGTTGCATTTGTAGCAGTGCCCCTTGAAGTGGCCTCGCTTATTCTCTCATATGCCATCTTCATCTTGTCCGTCTGCTCCCTTCCCGCCTTTCCCTTCCTTCCTGTTGGCCCCCATTGTAATTGGATCCAATTGTGACACTTCCAAGACAGATTGAAGCTCACGGGTTCGAATCCCAGCGCCGGCATTTTGTTGCTCATGGCAGCATTTCCTTGTAACATCAGGGCATGCATGAAAGTGCCTTTTCATTCTAAGTGCGTTCGTTGAAAACTCTAGTTTGGATTGTGTGATTGTACGTCAAGCAAAGCCTTTTTGGGACCTTGATATGCAAGGGTCCCAAATAACCAATTTTGGGCCCTGGTTGCAAGCACTGCAAATCTACATGACAGTAGGCTTTCATATGTAGTCGAAATAGGGGCTAGACGAGTGGGTAAGGGAAAAAGAAATTGGACTTAAGCAACCGTAGAATGAAAGATGTGGGTGGAGGATAAGTGGCCTCTGACCTACCGTACTCAATCACTTTGAGTATATACCGTACCTTACCGGATCATGAAGAATGTTGTGAGTGGTAATAAAAAATGGCAAGTTTTCCAGGCCAACACACACTCCACGGGTAGACATAACAATATATGTTTTGATTCGGTTTTCTCTTTCGATTTGGTTTTGAGCCATGGAACAAATGGATGTTTAGGGGGTTGAATATGACCAACCCAAATCTGAGCAGGTAATATTAGTGTATTACGGTTAAATTTTTGCCATGCGAGTGTAGCATTTCTTAAACACACCATCCTATGCCATCACACAGCTGCTGCTGCTACTATTGATGGCTGGACGGTGCTGCTTGGATTGATCGCCTTGGGCTGGGCATCGGATGGATTATTGCATACCAGTAGCTCTGCAGCTTTGCTTCAAGGTATCAGCTCCCCGGGTCAGCTTGAAGACCGATGGTTCACTTGTCAAAATGTGTGGAATCAATAGTGTATTAGAGGAAAGCAAACAAGCTACATAGTACAGTGGTACCAAGAGGCGGTACCTATTTACGAGAAGCACAAATGAACAAAGAAATGAGCACATTATATCTGAGGCCTAGACTACTTGCTAACATTATTTTCGACCAGCTAAGCAACAGATGACATGAAAGACCTTGTCTGATTGCAGGCCTGAGGCTAGCAAGCACCTATTAGGTAAATCTTAACCTAGATCTTTAATACCTCACAAGCCTTGAGATTCTCTTGTCAAATTTCCATGTTTCCGTGGCAATCCTAAATGGGTAACAGCCGCGCAGACCTCTAAAACTCGTCTTGCAGTTCCGGAAAGAGCTCCTCAAGAGAGATGTTTCCGCCTGCCTCTGTGCCATCCTCAGGGATCCCCGTGAATAAGGCTGTGGTGGGGGGGGTGCAAGGCTGTGGTGGGGGGCTGGGAGGCTGTGGTGGGGGGTTGGAAGGCTGTGATGGGGGGCTGGGAGGCTGCAGTGGGGGGCTGGGAGGCTGTGGTGGAAAGGTGGAGGGTCAGATGACTCTAGGGTTGACCCAAGGCCCACTTGAGGGCTCAAGTTGTGATCCTGGGGTGGAAAGACAGTTGACCATTGGGCCGGCTCATCGGCTGTCCCGGTGTTCCAGCTGTGATGGGGTGGTAGAACGTCATTTGAATCTAGGTTAGACCTAAGGGCCACATGATGGCTCATGATTTGATGCTGGGGTGGAAGGTCGGCTGACGCTAGGGTTGACTCAATGGCCACTTGAGGGTTGAAATTTCTATTCTGGGGTGGAAGGTCAGTTGGCCGTTGGGTTGACTCAAGGTCCACTCTGGTGTTCCAGCTATGATGTGGTGGTGGAATGTCAGTTGACTCTAGGGTTGACTCTAGGGGCTCAGTGGCTGATAGCGTTGACTGGGGAGGACATCCTTGGGTCAATCCATGGTGTTGGGATGGAGGATCAGTAGTGGTTGCTGCATGGGAGGCTGACACAGGGTTGTTACCCCAGGTGGATTGTTGATTAGCCCAGGTGAATTGCTGTCGGTGGACGGGTGGTGGGTTCACCTGGCTGGATGCCTGTTGCTGAAAATGCTGCAGTTTCTGCCGTTGAACCAGCTTTTGCACCTGCTGCTGCACCTGTTGTTGCTGCTGCACCTGCTCTTGCACCTGGTGCTGCTGTTGCTGTTGGCGCTGGTGTTGCTGTCTCTGCTGCTGCTGCTGCTGCTGTTGCTGCTGCTGCGTAAATTGCTGCCCCTGTTGCTGCTTCTGCGTAAAATGTTGCCCCTGTTGCTGCTGCTTGCCGCTGCTGCTGCTGCTGCCGCTGCTGCTGCTGCTGCTGACCGTGCTTCTGCTGACTTAAATGCTGCTGCCAACCGTGCTGCTGCTGCCCTGGCTGCTGGTATGGTGCGTGAACCTGCTGTACCTTCTGCCTCTCTGACCACACTTGCAGCTCTAACTGCTGCTGCTGCTGCTGCGGTTGCTGCTGAAGTTGCTGGTCCTGCTGTTGTGGTTGCTGTTGCTGCTCTTGCTGCTTCCACTGCTGTTGATGCTGCTGCCATTGCTGTTGTTGTTGTTGTTGCTGCTGCTGCTGCTGCTGCTGCTGCTGCTGCTGCTGCTGCTGCTGCTCGACTAATAAGATGAGCTGACGTGAAGCCCCAAGGTCCTCATTCCTCTGCGAATCAAATATTGCTCGGCATGACACCTGCAGCATGGACAGGTCAGCACCATGATCCAGTGTTGACAGGTCAGCATTGCGATCCAATGTTGACAGGTCAGCATAACCACTCGACTTAGAAGCCTGTACTTCCACTAGCGATAGATCAGCCCTGGGCCGAGCCTGTGCCTGGGGCTGGGAAGGCTCATTGGGATGGATAACCGAGGGGGCAACTGGGTGAAGGATAGGAGGGAGCACTGGGGGGACTGGAGAGGCGAATGTAGGGACTGGAGAGGCACGTGAAGGGACTAGAGAGGCACTTGGAGGGACTGGAGAGGCACGTGGAGGGACTAGAGAGGCACGTGGAGGGACTAGAGAGGCACGTGGAGGTACTGGAGAGGCACGTGGAGGGACTAGAGAGGCACGTGGAGGGAGTGGAGAGGCACGTGGAGGGACTAGAGAGGCACGTGGAGGGACTGGAGAGGCACGTGGAGGGACTGGAAAGGCACGTGGAGGGTCTAGGGATGCACTTGGAGGGTCTAGAGATGCACGTATAGGGATTGAAGAGGCAAGTGGATGGGCAGGTGGGGGGCATCGGGTGAGTTCTTGGGGTTGAGGTGGCGAGACAAACTGTTCTGCATTAACTGGCATTGCCCTCTTTGAACCTGTTGACTGTACTGGCTGCATTGACTGCATTGGCTGCATTGACTGCATTGGCTGCATTGACTGCATTGACTGCATTGACTGGATTGACTGGATTGACTGGATTGACTGTACTGGATGGATTGACTGTATTGGCTGCGTTGACTGCACTGGCTGCATTGACTGCACGGACCGGTCTTGTACCAGGGGCTGCACAGGTGGAAAGCATTGCGTAGGCCACGTTGACTGTGTTGACTGCATTTTCTGTGCAGGCTGGAGTGGGGCTATGGCTTGGAGAGGCTATGTGGAAAATTGGGCTGGCTGAGAGAATGGCACGTGTTCTGACTGCGGGGGTAGGGAGAGGTGTTGCTGTGGTATGGGTAGGGAGGGGGGGTGCTGCGGCAAGGGTAGGGTACTTTGTACCAAGGGCACGGGTAGTTGCTGCTGGGGTGGAACAGACGTGCTACCTGGCAGGGTGGCAATATCAGGGGTTGCTTGTGCCTCATGCATCAGTGGGGGCTGTTGAATTGGCTGATACTGCTGGGTCTGCTGTCCCTGCTGCATCTGCCAAGTCTGCTGGGTGTGCTGAGCCAGCTGAGAAGGATGAGACTGGTGACCCCACTCGAAGCCCTCTCTTTGCAAGGGGCTCTCTAGGTCCGATCCTAGGGCCTCCTGCAGCAGCAACGACACGTACCCACTCCTAGCCTCGCTCCCCTGTGAGCCATTGTTCTCCAAAGCATTTCTCTCCTCAGCGTTTTGGCCCCAAGTATGATTCCTCTCGGAAGCATAGCTCGCAGAGCGCACCAGGTGACTCGCCAGAGCTTGCCTCATGACTTCAATGTTCATGAGGCTGCCACTTTGTGGCGCCTCTAGCTGCTTCGTCTGCTCCTCTAGCTTATTTGTCTGCGCCTCTAGCTGTTTCGTCTGCTCCTGTAGCTGCTTCGTCTGAACTGCAAGCTGCTTCCGCTGCTGCAGCTTCTGCTTGGGCTGAATCGGGATGGCAACTGGCTGGAGGTTGTAGAGAGGGGAGTGGTCCGTGAACGTGTTGAGGTGGTTGGCTAGCTTGTCCTTTCTGCTGAAGGAGTTCCCGCAGGAGCAGTGCCACCGCTTTACACCGCACTGCTTCTCATGTCCCCGCAGGTCAGACTGAAGGCCAAACGACTTGACCTGAGGAGAGGAAGGAAGAGAAACAGGATGATTGGGTTGCCATAAGGGTAGTGTTGCCATATGATCAGACCACCACCCATGAGCAGAAAGACTAGAAAGATATGAGATATATATGATGAGAGGAGATTCAAGGAGAAGCGATTGGAGGATAGAAGAAGGGAAGAGAAGAGAGGAGAGGAGAGGAGAGGAGAGGAGAGGAGAGGAGAGGAGAGGAGAGGAGAGAAGAGGAGAGAGAGAATTGAGAAGAGTGGGTCACCTGGCACAGGGAGCACGTGAAGGGCTTGTTGCCGTGCACACGGAGGTGGTGGGTGTGGAGCGATGCCAGGGACTTGAGCGGGCGGAAGCGCGGGTGCTGCTCGTTGTGCTGGCAGCCTTTCTCGGGGCAGGTGATGGCCGTGGAGGAGGAGCTGAGGTTGTGGTGCGGAGAGGAAGAGGGGAGTTGGACAAGGGAAGAAGATGAGACAAAGGAAGAAGCAAGCATGCTGCTCGTTGTGCTAGCAGCCTTGCTAGGGGCAGTTGATGGCCGTGGGGAAGGAGCTGAGGGATGGTTGCGGAGGGAGGGAGGGCCGAAGTAAATTTCTAAAGAATGAGGGAGAGCGGGTTGGCTGGAATATGGTAGAGAGGAGGGTCATAAAGTGACCTCTGGGAAAATCACAAGTAGGAGCAGAGGTAGTTCTGAATTTAGACGCTATTTTTTTTTCTAGCAAAGGCAGGAGGAACAGAGCAACAACACAAGCAGGGCCAGAGGAGACACCTCGAAGCATAGAGCGTGTCGGGATGGGCAGTGAAGCCAGATGAGGGCCCAGACCCGTCTGAAGCCTCCTGCATTACTCCCGCCCTCACAGCCCCCCTTGCAACCTCCTGATTTCCTTCAGCGTTGCCTACTCCCCTCAAATCCCAGTCAACCGCAACCTGCCCTGGATCAGAGCTAACATTATTTTTCGTGTGCCCTTCTCCTGCCTCGGCTGCTGCTGCTGTTGCTGCTGCTGCTGATCCTTCTGCTGCTACTGCTGTAAATGCTGTTATTATTGCTACTGCTTGTGGTTCTGCTGCTGCTGTTACTGCTACTGCTGCTGGTGGTGCTGTTGCTGTTACTGCTGCTGCTGGTGCTGCTGTTGTTACTGCTGCTGTTGATACAGGTGCGTCTGTTTGTGCTGCTGGTGCTGCTGCTTCTGCCGCTGATTCTGGTAGTGGTGCTGCTGACAGCACCTCTGCTGCTGTTGCTGCCACTCCTCCCTGTACCTCTGCCCCTTCCTGGGGCATGCTTTCTTGCAGCGCTGCCTGTAGCAATAGCCGCTTCAGCTTCTTGTGCCTGCGAGGAGTCACCTCCCCGTCCCACTGCCCCCCATCCCACTGCTCCCCGCCACGTTGCTCACCGTCACACTGCTCCGCGCTGTGCTGCACCCCGCCACACTGCTCCACATCGCGATGCTTGCGCTTCTGCCCAGTTTCCCATGCCAAGCTTCCCACGTCAGCAGACTCGCCACTGTGAAGCCTTGTCTGGGGAGCATTGAGTCGCTCCTTGGCTCTCGAATGGCCTGTTCTTGGGAACTCGGACCATGATTGCACCTCTTTGGCTCCTCGTAATCCCCCTTGCAGTCGTTCCCTCTCCTGCACCCTATCCTGCTCCTCCTTTGCATCCTCTTCCTCTTCCTCGTCTCTCTCCTCTGCCTCTTCCTCTTCCTCCTCCTCTTCCTCTTCCTCTTCCTCTTCTTCCCCCTCTTCCTCTTCCTCTTCCTCTTCTCCTTCCTCTTCCTCTCCTTCTTCCTCTTCCCTTTTGCCGTCCTCTTCCCCTTCGCTTTCATTTTCTCTTTCGCCGTCCTCTTCTCCTTCACCTTCCTCTTCTCCTTCACCTTCCTCTTCTCCTTCACCTTCCTCTTCTCCTTCACCTTCCTCTTCTCCTTCCCCTTCCACTTTGCCTTCGCCTTCCTCTTCTTCTTCATCTTCTCCTTCGTCTTTGCCTTCCCTTTCTCTGTCGCCTTCCTCTTCTTCTTTATCCTTGAGACTCTCCGCCTCGGCATCGTCATCATCATCATTCCCCCCCTCATCCCCTCCTTCCTCTTCCTCTTCTTTTTAATATCCATGCTTTCCCTTCCTCGCTCATTTTCCTCGCCCCTCATCTCCTCGTTCTCGCCTGCTTGTCCCTGAGCCATCGGACCTGAACCTTCCTTACTTGCTTCAACCATCACACCCTGGCTTGGCAAAGCTTGGCTTGGCCGACCCTGCCTTGGAAGAGTCGGTGAAGCTTGCAGGTTCGGCAGCAGGGGGAGCAGGGGAAGGAGTGCACTGTTCTGCTGGTGGGCTGGAAGCAGGCTTGCAGCAGCTACAGCGAGGTTCTTGATCATGCCAACTATTCCCACTGCCACCGCATCTCGCTGCTGCTTCCTCTGCTTCTCCAACACCTGCTTCTCTTGATCCTGTTTTTCGTCCTCCTTATCCTTCTCCTTTACATATTCCCCTTGCTCCTGCTCCTGCTCTTGCTGCTGCTGCTGCTGCTGCTGCTGCTGCTGCTGCTGCTGCTGCTGCTGCTGCTGCTGCTGCTGCTGCTGCTGCTGCTGCTGCTGCTGCTGCTGCTGCTGCTGCTGCTGCTGCTGCTGCTGCTGCTGCTGCTGCTGCTGCTGCTGCTGCTGTTGCTGCTGCTGCTGCTGCTGCTGCTGCTGCCGTTTCTGCTGTTGCTTCACGTTCTGCTGCTGTGGCTGTTCCTCTTCCTCCTCCTTGTTTCCCACCTCCTCCTGTTCTTCCTTATCCCCTTTTGCTTCCTCCTCCTCCTCCTCCTCCTCCTCCTCCTCCTCCTCCTCCTCCTCCTCCTCCTCCTCCTCCTCCTCCTCCTCCTCCGCCTCCTCCCCCACTTGTTCGTGCTGGTCCTTCTCCTTCTCCATTCCCTCCTGCTGCTGCTGAATCAGGGCGGAGAGACAGGAGAGGCCAAGAGATAGAGTGCTGAAACAAGGTCGGCAAATGCAAGTGGTGAGAACGGCAGTAGTGTTTGATGATCATGTGGTGCAATGTCCGCAATATAGTCATAACTGTGGATTGATAGCAGCTTGTGATCAGCAGCAGGATGAGCCATCGGTACAACTCTGAGCAAGAGAAAGAGGAAATGGGAACGGGAAATCGGGCAAGGCTCGGCAAGGGGAAAATCCGAACAGCCTAGTACCTGGGAAGGGATCCGAACGAGTGCTTGTAACGCGGATACTCTGGCCTGCAGAGCGGTAAGCGAGGAGAGAAGAGTTGAATGCTGGCTTGGGAGGGCTCCACGCGTGCATGTGGGGGAGGCGGTGCTTGGCACGTTGCCCGGTGTCCTGGTGTGAGTAGCAAAATCAGGAGCAGCAGCTGCAGCAGCAATAGCGATAGCAGCAACAGTAGCAGTAGCAGCTATGGCAGCAGTAGTAGCAGTAGCAGCTGTAGCAGCAGCAGTAGCAGTAGCAGCTATGGCAGCAGCAGTAGCAGTAGCAGCTGTAGCAGCAGCAGTAGCAGTAGCAGCTGCGGCAGCAGCACTAGCGGTAGCAGCTATGTCAGCAGCAGTAGCAGTTGGAGCAGCATCTGACGCAGTAGCAACCATAGAAGCAGCAACACCAGTGTTGTCCTTTCTGCCTAGATACGCTCCGCTTGTGCCACACTGGGGCCCTTGCCCTTGCTCCCCTCCCTCTGCCACTCTAGCATGGGATGCTTCAGTAGCAGCAGCGCGTGGCGGGCTGGCTGTAGCAGGGGATACAAGGGATCCTGCTGCCGCAACCCCTTGACTGGCGCCATCTCCTGCAGCATCAGCACGGACTACAGTCCTGGCTGCTGCAGCTTGTGCAGCCTCGGGAAAGGGTGATTCGGAACCCGAACCAGCCTGGGTTCGAAGGAGGCCTTCGATGAGCCTGACGGCTTCAGATGAATTCGGAGGCGCCTCAGAAGCCGTGGCAGGTGGTATATATTTTCTTCCAGTAGAAACGTTATCCAAGTGACCAGCATTCACTTGGCGATCGGCAGCTCGTCGATTGGTGCCGTCATCATCATCATTGTCGTCGATACCATCATCATCCTCGTTATCATTATGCTTTTCTCCTAATGGCACTGCATGATGACTCATCATCTGGATGGGATCCTGAAGACCTGCAGCACCTGGCCACCAGGGTTGGGTAGTCGGCGACGGCTGGAGCTGCAGCGGCATCGTGTCACCACACTGCGGCAGCCTGCCGTCTACCAGTGAGGCACGGAAGGCCTGCCGTTGAACTGAACGCCCCGGAAGGTCACTGGGTGAGGGCATTTGGAAACCATGATGGGGTGGTGGCTGCTCTCGCATTGTGCCACCACACGGCAGCAGCCTGCCGTCCGCTACTGAGGCCCGGAAGGCCCTGCCGTTGAACACTGGGACAAGGCCCCTGAGAATCAAATTTATGATGGTGTGGTGGCCAATCTGGCAGCCCGGGAGGAGGGAGTTCCTGCTGGGGTCGCCGTTGCTGGCTGTTCTACCAACAGATATGTTATCACCCATCTCTGCGGCTACGTCCTTACCACACTAGCCAAAACTAATCATGTAGTACTGTAGCCCCCTCTGCGTTTCTTCCACTAGTCGACTAGGAAGATCTGTCAGATCTGTCAAACGCAGGTCCAACCGTTGGTGGGTTGATGAAGTACCTCTGAATTGGTCCTGGGATAAAGTATACCATCCACCTGGCTTCACAGCTCTGCGTCCAGCCTGAAGCTTGATTCTAGATATTCAAGTGACTTCCCGAGAAGTCACTTCAGCCGTTCTTTGATAGTAATGTTTGAGACACTGGGAGGGTGAAACCACGCCTGATGGGAACCAGGCAATGGAAGGAAGAACAACCGAACGGAACGGAACCGAGCTCCACTCTGAATGCGAGGTAGTTTTCGAACTCGTGTGGGTGGTTTGTGACACCAGCGGGGAATGGGTCCAGCTGTGCTGCAGTTGAAGACAATGAAGGAAGAGCCTTTCTGTAGTACAGATCTGTAATTAGGGGTGTCTGAACTGAATCCCACCTGCAGTCACACCAAGTGCTTACCTGTGCCGTGCATGGTGTGGCAGGGCTTTTGAGGGAGAAAGTGGCCTGTTCTGCCACTCTGAACTATATCCGCGCTAAAAACCAATGTGGATTTTGATCCGACGATACCACCGAGTATACGACACAATTTGAAGGCCAAATGTTTGATAAATTTGAACGTGACCAATCCCAAAGCGCCGACCATTTGGGAGCCAGCCTGCCATTTTCTGGTCGGCGTGGGAGCCCCACACCAGACCGACTGTTGGGAGGTTCGGTATGGGTGGCTCGGACTTCGTCAAGAAAAATGTAACTTCATAACTGCACGTGGCTGCCTTCGATTTAACACTGAGGTTCGCCTGCTCGTCACGACTCGCATTTGCTCCAGAGCTGAACAGTGCACTTTTGGCAACAAGTGGCACGACAATGTCGTGTGGTGGCAACTATAATTTCAGTGCTTACCACGAAATATTGGGGCTGTTTAGGGGCAGGAATAACATCTGTGGGAGCGAGTGGGCGGAGACATAAAGAGGACTCTGCACTAAATTCGACTTTTCTACTTATATGCCGCCGTCTTGAACACCCGTGACCCATGTACAATCTCCCGAGCGAACCAAAGGGAGGTGGGATTTATCCGTGTGTAGCCCAGAAAACGTACAGAATAGTCATGGGCTGCATTTCACATCACACGCTTGCGGGATCGCGCTTTGGTGCTGGTCATGTGAAAGTGTCGGCGGCGCAAGAAGCGGGAGAACAAAAGCGATGGTTGCTTTGCGGTGCGAAGTACGTCTGCGAAGAATGTACGACATGCGATATAGGGAGTTCGATAGTGAACGGAGCTTTATACCAGAACCTTCAAGTACGGTATTACCTGTATTAAGGCATGCTGCTTTTGGCACAGAATGGAAGGTTTACATTTTTCTTCAGGTTTTAACTGCGGTTCCAGGTCGACTCTGTAGTCGACTACCAAGAATATTGAGGTTCGAACCTCTTGTCAAACATTTATGTTCGAGCGCCTTTTCGAAACTCTTACCATGCAAAAATTCAGAATCTATAAGCAAACAATACATACGACTTGATTGATACAGTACATAAAATTTGTGGAGAGTGTACATTGAGTCAAATTAAGTCATCTTAACTCATCATGGTCATCGTCTGATGGCCAGTGATACGAGTCATCCCCCTCCTCATCCATGGCATCGTAAAACACATCCCAGTGCGCCAACATCTCCTCCAATGACAATCGCTTATCCTTGTTGTCATCCGCCTGCCGTCACATGCCGCATTCACACCACCACCACCACCACATTATCCAAGTTAGGCACCGCAGCAATCCAGTTATCCAAGCCAGAGAGACATGCCATGTGGCGCCTACATGTGCTCACCTCCATCATCATGTGCTCACCTCCACCATCATGTGCTCACCTCCATCATCATGTGCTCACCTCCATCATCATGTGCTCACTCCATCATCATGTGCTCACCTCCATCATCATGTGCTCACCTCCATCATCATGTGCTCACCTCCATCAGCATGTGCTCACCTCCATCATCATGTGCTCACCTCCATCATCGTGTGCTCACCTCCATCATCATGTGCTCACCTCTATCATCATGTGCTCACCTCCATCATCGTGTGCTCACCTCCATCATCATGTGCTCACCTCTATCATCATGTGCTCACCTCCATCATCGTGTGCTCACCTCCATCATCATGTGCTCACCTCCATCATCATGTGCTCACCTCCATCAGCATGTGCTCACCTCCATCATCATGTGCTCACCTCCATCATCATGTGCTCATCTCCATCATCATGTGCTCACCTCCATCATCATGTGCTCATCTCCATCATCATGTGCTCACCTCCATCATCATGTGCTCACCTCCATCATATGTGCTCACCTCCATCATCGTGCGCTCACCTCCATCATCATGTGCTCACCTCCATCATCATGTGCTCACCTCCATCATCATGTGCTTGGCTTGCTCCTCGGCAAAGTGGTACTCGTTGGGCACGATGGCATACAGCAGGTCCTCAAACTCACTCGCATCCAGGTACCTGGTGCATGCCCATTGCCCACCAACCAGTGCAAGCACATGTGAATCAAGAAATGAAAATTTCAAGGAGCGTTTTTTTTTTTCAGGATTGACATGCTGGAAACGCTGAACTACTCCCACACAGCAAGCAGCCGTGAACACACTCGTGTGAGAGAGCGAGACACGGTTGACTATAGAAGCGATGCACGAGGCTGGCGTCACTGTCTGTCAGCATCTTCATCCACCACAACACGCCACCCTGCCACTGCACCACGCACCCGTCATGATTGGCGTCCGTTTGATCGAATCGCGTGCGTGCATGTGCCCGCTTCTCCGCTGCGCTCATGTGCTCCACGTCCTTGCTGCCGTGCGCTATGTCGGGCGGCACGTAGTCGTCACTGGTGACGTCATAGCGGTGCGCCTCCCAGCGCGCATACTCCTCGTCAAACTGCGCCACCTCCTCAAACACATTCTCCAGAAACTCCTCAAAACTCAGTCGCATGTCCCCGTCCGTGTCCCGCGCCCTGCAGCATGGCGAGCACACACACGGCGAGCACAGGCACAAGTGGGAGTTTTACAGAGCAGAAACACAGCCTGCTTTCTACCAAGGCTCACGACGAGCAAGATGCTCTGGGGGACCGAGGGAAGAGGGCATGGACGGCATGGATCACATGGACGGCATGGATCACATGGACGGCATGGATCACATGGACGGCATGGATCACATGGCACAGCATAGCATGGAAGCACAGCATGGCATGGCACAACACAGCATGCCATGGCATGGCATGACACGGCATGCACGGTATGGCACCGCACGGCACAGAACAGCATGGCGAAGGACAGTATGGCA